GTGAATATGTTTATTTGTGTGTTATGTACATGCAATCTGCATACGTAAGTATAAATGTATACTCATATATATGTGTGTACACATATAGAATGTACATACCATATTTCTTTATTATTAATATTAATATTATTATTATAATTATTATTAATATTGTTATTATTACTTTTATTTATAGACTTAAATCATAAGTCATCTGAATTATGAAACCTAAACGCTTTCACGCTTAATCATTCATTACCTTTGTATTTTTATTTCTTTAATTATATTTTTTTATATCTGTATATATATATATATATATATGTATACGTTAAGCTATATATATATATAGCTTTTGTTTTTTCTTACAATTATTACAGCAGGTAATTTTATATTCAAAATGCTTAAAACTTTATACATTCGTGCAAGTGCATTATATCTTGCGGTGCGAGGAAAAGAAGTTACAGTCGAATCATTATAAGAACCTAAAGTAAGAGTAACTATACTAAAATATCTTATAATTATACTATTAATGAATATTATTTTTTTTTCTAGTTTATATAAAACGACACACGCGGTATCAATTATTAATAGTTAAGAATTTATACTACTTAAATGTAACTTAATAGGGGAAAAGAAAATTACACATAAGCGTTAAGTAACAATCAAAAAGAAGATACTAATAATAACTGACAAAATAAATTAAATGATAATATGATGGTGTGCGTATTTAACTACTAATGTTATATTTATATATATATTTTTCTACTAATCAGCATTTTTTATTATTGCAAATATAATTAGAAGTGAATCTTGGAAAAGATAGTTGCTTTTATAATATTATGGTATTTATATTTATATATATTTACTATCTGTTTGCAATGCACCTGCATTCAAAGCAGGATGCTTCTGATCAAAAATGAAGAGTATATATTTCTATGCGTCTGTTTTCATTTAGTTTTATTTACATTATTTTAAATTAATTACTACGAAACTAATCCTTTCCAAAAATTCGCTATCATAGTTTCTTTAGTTTCAATGTTTTAAATAATTATTTTCCGCGATATTAGATAATACATTAAGATCAACAAAATTATGCTGACTATTAGCAAAATTTCGTAATATGCAGAATGATATTTTTATATTCTTCTCTTTGTTTTTCTCTTTTTTTTTTTTTAAATTAATGGTCGTTCGAAGTTAATCTCTTTAACTGATTATAATTTCTTTTCTTATCTTTTTTCTTTTTTCTTTTTTCTTTTTATGTAGATATGATATTATCTTCTAAACATCTATACAAAGGCACAAAACGTTTGAAAATTTAATTGGGACTGAAAATTGTAGTTCGCTTTCTTTCATATCAAATCATGACATGCCTTACGAACCTACAGAGTTTTATATTTTAAAGACACAGCATTGTATCACTATAATTTGAATTTTAAAAAAAAAAAAAAGAAAATTATTAAAAATAACACTAAAAAGAAACTAAAAAAAGTATTAAAGAAAAAGAAGCAATATATAAAATAATTAGCTAATCAGCATACATATATATACACTATTATCGGAAATATAAATTCAAGCATACATTTACACATATGCGATACGCATCACTCATAAAAATAAATAACAGTCGTGTTCTATGCATATATATTCATATATATATATATATACGATCATGTATTCAACATAATCCAAGCACAATCTGATCACTCTTTAAGAATCTACATATCTTATTTAATAAGTGAACAAAGTATGGATGGATTCAAGAATCGTGGACAACTGTTAAATCTATTTACTATTAAAAAGTTCCAAATAAAATCAGTAAGAATAATATAATAATTATGCGAGTTACTTTTCTTTTTTTTTTTAAATATATAACGATACAGAAATGCGCTCTTATCTTTTTCTTATTTAATTTTTTTTTTTCTTTTAACTTGTCATTGATATGAAATAAAAATTGTAAGAATAATGTATGCTTTGATCTTGATGTGATAATGATAATAATAATAATAATAATAATAGTAATAATATCGCATTAATGTTTCTTTCAAAAGTACTGATATTACTTGAGTAGCATTTTAGGAGGTACAGATCTTAAAGATTTAATTCGTAGATAAGTAATACGTCGTATATATGCATTTCTTCAATTTGATATAAGTTTCTATCGATCTAAATGAAATACCTGAAGTACGATCAAAGCAGAGTATATAAGAACTTTATATTTTATTTGTTATTTTCTCTTCTTCTTTTTCTTTTTCTTTGTTTTGTTATGATAGCTGCTTTTGAGTATTACTTGATATATTTTTATAATTCTCATATAAATTATTAAACGTTGCTATTAAAACTTATTTTCTATATATGATAGCCAAAATTTGAGCGATGATTGAACTTGAAACGGTGATTAATTTTTTCCTATTTTTTTTTTTTCTTTCTTTCTTTCTTGCTTTCTTTTTATATAAAATATTACGAACAGAAATAATACATGCAGCAGTGTACCAATTTTTTTTATGCAAAATTTTGCCAGTATATTTTTAAAAGATATACGAACATCAGCTTTTAAATAATTTATTTCAAAGTTATAACAAAAATGCGAAACGATAATGAACTTGTGTATCATAGAAACAGCATAAGAAAACATTGCCGATATTTATTTGAATATGCAACGATAATATCTTCGGATCTCACTTTATATGGTATCGAACAAGAAAGGAATTAATTGTCATTTCATATTTTTGTTATAACTTTCTAACAAAACGTTTAAAAGCTGGAGTTTGTATAACATTTATTCTTTATTATTACTTATAAAATACGCTAGTAAAATTTTGCTAAAAAAAACAAGGACACATCCTGTATATATATATATATATATATCATTTCATAAGTGATACTTTAAAATCAGATATTATTCTTCATTAACACAAGAAAACAAATTGGTAACTCTTAATAAAAAGTCAAACATACTCCGCAAAGTTATTTCTTTTTTCCTCTATTTTTTGTTGTTGCTCTTCTTCTTCAATTTACATTTAATTGGCTGACTATATTTTGACCTTAATCTTTTTAATCTTTCGCATAAGCAATTAAATTGCACGTTTACTCAAAGAAAAAAAAAAACACCAAAAAAAAACAAAAAAAAAAAATATATATATATATATACATATATTATTTGCACTTATTTTTGATTTATAACTCGTTTATATTCATTATAGAAAGTTTAAAATCTGCAAAACTAAAAAATATGTCATGCACCATATATATATATATATATTTCTAGTAAACGTTTAAAATTTATGTATCACACATGTCTCTCTAACTCTTTATAAGACATCCTAAAATGTACAATACATGGTAGTAATAGATTATTAACTATTTATATTTCTGTTGACAAAATCGCAGAGCGAATTATTACTTTAATTTTGTTGAAAAGATTATAACTGATTTCACTTATCTTCTTTGTTTCTTTTGTGATCGAACAGCCAGATCATTGCGCAAACAATACAATTTCTTAATCGGAAAAACGTATATAATAATACTTTACATACATACATTTCTTTTCGTTTTTTTTTTGTCTGAAGGTAACCAATGCATTGGAAGATTTAATATTTAAAAATATGAATCAACGATTGTGTTGAATCGCGCAATGGACGTATATATGATGTAGAAAAACAAAAACAAATTTTTACATTTATTTGTACTATAAAGTTGACAGAGGTACGTTAGCAGTTTAATAGCTGCAATGTACGCAGTAATGTATTTACTCTATATTATCAAATACATTATAATGATATTGCTAACACACAGATAAAACTACCTTTACAGACTAATGTATGAACTATAACAGCATGTATATATTTAATTACACACTCCTATTATCGTAGAATATATTTATTATATTTTTTTTTCTTCTTCTTCTTCCTTTTCTTCTTCTTCACCAGTCACACTGCTTTGGTGATAAGTTACCACGAATTAAAACGAATGTTTATATTCAATGTAATAACGTATATTACATTAAAACAAAATGTTTTCTAATTGTCGCAAAATAAAAGACCTCTAAAAAGAAAAAAAGCGAAATTGTATATAAATTATAATAGCAGATTGCTATAGAATGCATTTAATATACGAGATCGCTGTAAACGAAACATCACCAAATTTATGTATTTTCTTATACATTTATCATTGTTTTTCACTTTAAAGATTAGTCATTTATTTAATTAATCTAATCCAAAATTTATGTTATAACTAAATGGACAATGTCTCCTTTATCAACTTCTTCATTGTATTACCCATGGTAGAACTCGATGGGCTAGAAGTTGTAAAAGACAATTTAAATAAGTAAGGCTGAACGTCCGGATAAGAAGTATCAAAAATCAAATCTAATTCAGCCTGATTTGGCATTTTTGGTAAATAGTCATGCCTGTTCATGACCTCCGTTATATAAAGAATTTTATCTGTCAAGAGATCACCAACTTTTTCCCTACATATTTGACGTTCGTGCTCGGTGGCTAATTTTATTAGCTCTAACCTGACCGTCCATACTTCCCATGGTATACACTCTGCTTGGAAGGGCCAACGGTTCTTCTTTTTTTGAAAAAATTCTAATGATATTTGACCAGAACCAGGGCTATCCGTAGAACGTAAAGCTTCTGAGAAACCAGATATTTCTTTTTTTATAGTTTGGTCAAGATGTACCGAAGAACAGCATACATATGTGAAATCGATGAAATCACAATCAACATCCTGATATCCGACAGTGCCGACGGAATAGCTGCCTTCTTGTTTGTACTTAAATTTTCCAAGGCTTCTATGAAATAGAACGCTATGAAATATACTTGCTACAGCTTCGTCCACTTGACGACCCTCCATGCTTAATTCAAATAATTGCGTTCTGGCGTTCATTGTGATACCTAAAATGATAATTATTTCAATCGTTTTCAGATTTAATTTTGCATCCTTGCTAAATAAATTATACTAAGAGATTAACATGTTTGTTATCGGTATTGTGTATCTGTGACAAACAGATTTCCATCAAGATCCCAGCATCATACATTTATAATCACTGTAATCAACGTGAAAAAATAAGTTCTGAATCTCTTCTGCATGGTACGATAACGAACGTGTTAAAAAAAAAAAAAAAAAAAAAAAAGCAAGAAAAATAGAAGGTATAGTTTCAATGAGATTTGCCAATAATGTATTACGTACTTCAAATTTTTTACTTGATGTATACTACTATAAAGATCATAAACTTTTAATAAAATAAATTGTCGCTTTTACAATTACTTTTGATAACGGGCACCAACAAAGAAATAATTGTATCATATTATTATTTGCCCTTAAAAAGAGAAACAAAGCTTGTTGAAAAATAACTAAAAAGCATTGAAAAAGAAAGAAATAAACAAATCAAAATATATACTAACATTAAATATCTAATATAAACTATAATAAACTTAATATATATATATGTATATATATATATATATATATACATACAAATTGAAATTTATTAGCTACATCGTGTAACAATTATACGTAACTAAACACCAAATGGATATAAAAATAATTACTCCGAAAATATATAAAAATAAATAATAAACACAATTATTTTTTCATAACCTCACAAAAAAATAACAAAATAAAAACGCGAATCATCAGTGCAACGTTGCAGCTGTCTTTGGAAATAGTCCAAGCGTTAACGTTTAAGTATGCTGGAGAGGTTATAATCGTAACAGCTTTCCACCATGAATGATAGAGGAAAATATGAAAATCATATTACAATCTAAGCGCCACGTTTTCCATCCATGATATGAGAGAAATGGGAAGAGATACATATAGAGAGAGAGAGAGAGAGAGAGAGAGAGAGAGAGAGAGAGAGAGAGGGAGAAAGAAAGAGAAAGACAGAATGAGAGAAAGAAAGAGAAAGACAGAATGAGAGAAAGAAAGAGAAAGACAGAATGAGAGAAAGAAAGAAAACGAGGGAAGGAGAAAGAAATAAGTGACATAAGAAAAAAAAAAAAAAATAGAAAAGAAATAAATATGAAAAGAAAAGATATATATCATGCAACGTGTTCGAATATAACGTCAACTTCCTTTACAACGTTTTGCCGCGCTACGAATAATTTACGTAACGATATATAATCGAGCTCGATCGCATTGAAAAAACTCGAAGAATATCGAAAGGGTGGAATATTCAAAAATGAAAACAATAATTGAAAATTCTAATTCTAATGAATTATTATATTTCTTTATACTTACTTCGTAAAAACTGTTCTATTATCGTGCTCGAAATGTTGAATAATTTCAATTGATTTGTATCGTTTCTTTTTTCGAAAGACAAAAAAATATATATATATATATGTATGTGTTTAGATATATATACATATATATATATATTTATCTAGGTTAGTTTTGTCTTATTCCGTCGTAGTTGTTACTGTCATCATCATCATCATCACCATCATCATCATCATCATAACCATCATCATCATCATCATTATCATCATCATTATCATCATTATTGACATTGTTATTAGAGTCGTCGTCGTCGTCGTCGTTGTCGTCTTCAACCCGTAGTAATCATCGATCATTTCTTGCATGGGGAAAATCTTTCGCGTACTGTGTTTTCTTATACCAATGCTGTTACTGTTGTTACTGCTGTTTCTACTACTACTACTACTACTTTTGCTGCTGTTGCTGATGCACCAGCACCACCACCTCCGCCGCCACCACACCACCACCACCACCACCACCTTCTTCACCGCCGCCGCCACTGTAACGACAACGCCGTTACGACCACCACCACCGACACCACCACTGCACTATTCGCGTCTTTTAATTTATAAAAAAAAAAAAAAAAAAGCACGATTTGTCACTGATCCACTATGTAGTTACTGTTGTTTCTTATTGTTCGATGACTACTTTCCATCTCGATTTACCTTACTAGTTCCTTATTATAAAGGAACACGTTAGGTATAACACGTCCTTAATCTACGACAAACGCTAACTAAAAGAACGAGACGCTGCTTTGTGGATAAACAACAGCTGTGTTCCGAACCTGTGCCATCTTGAATTTTGTTTACTCGATTCTCCGCTTGACTATGCAACCATTCACTTTCATCTTTTTCTTTTTTTATTAATAATACATTTTTTCTTTTTATTTCAATCGTTTTCACATTATCTGATTAATTTTATTTTATTTATTTATCTCTATTTATTTAATAATATAATTTATATTATATCGATATATTGAAACTTCAATATATTGATACTTCGATATATTGATACTTCGATATATTGATATATCGATATATTATATCGATCACAAATGTATTTTACATTTGAAAAGTAATTGTTAAAATATTATATTTTTGTTCGTTTATTTTATTTATAATTGTAGATAACAACGTTTAAGAAACTAAACTATTAATTATCGATTATATTGAATATATTTTAATTGACAAATCAAAGTAACTAATCAGATATTTATCGATAATCTTCTTCGATGATTTACGAATCGTATTTTAAGCGATAAATTTTAGCGCCAAAAAGTAAACAATTCAAATGATAACATACGTTGATGCGATTAGAAAGAAATGATTTTATCTTACAATTAGATTGAGAATCAAAAACATTTGCATGAAATTTAATTGAATGCATATGAAAAACAAAAAAATAAACGACAAGCGCATTAAATTATGTTGTTTATAATCCTTTTTGTTAATACATGTAATTATCAAAATTCTCTTTTTAATACATAGTTCCTTTCTTTCTATTTCAAATATTTACAAACTAGATCTATGTTAAATTTTGAATACAATGATTTTATTAACCAGACCAGAAATCAAATATTTAAATAAAAATAAATTTCATATATCAAGAAGACCAAGATCCCTAACCTGGCTCATATTTGGTTGTAAGATGCAATGACTTTTTTTTTATTTATTTTTTTTTTTTTAATTTATATAAATATTTAAATATATTCGTAACAATTTCTTATGATCATTGATTAAATTGAGGCAAACTTATTAACAAATAATTTTGCTTTACAGTATACACAATTCTTTTCATTTGGATATGTTATCACGTGACGAATAATATTTTTTTTCTGGTCGTTTCAATACTTGGGGAAATAACATTTTGTTTGGATACTTTAGAGGAATGGGAAGATCTAATATTAAATAAAGAAACAAACAAAGCTATTATATCAAGATACACATGGAGCGACAAGTTATGCTGCAAATTTTTAAATAAACAATCCATCATTATGGAATTAAACGACATAAGATATGTTGGAGTGTCTGTAGAGTTGGGTCTATTTATTGTTCATAAAAGTGGACAAACTGTATATATCAATATGAATGGCTTAACACATAAAGAAGTACAAACATTAAGGAAAGAAATTAATTATTTTTTGAATATGAGTCGAATTGAATGTTTGGATTGTTTTCCGAGTGATCCATACGATCAGCTTGTTATTGTTTCAGATTTAGAAAATAAACGATTCAATAAGTTTCCTAAAAAGTATAGATCTAATTCCATATCCAAAGAAACTTTACGTTCTAATAATGAAATGAATGATTTTAAGCATTCGCTACAACAAAATTTTAGTATGCCGTTACTGGGATCTGAAAAGATTCTTAAAAGTTGTCAAGAAAAGCATTTAAGAAAGGGTCCATATACAGAAAATAATACATCCTTAAGTTATTTTAAATATATGAAACCTATATCTGTATGTTCTTGTGAACGTGAAACTAACTTAAAATTGTTTTAAACAAACCCTACATTATTTATGATCTATTTATGTAATTGTGTATTATTATCATGCTTGATATTAATTGTTAATTAATATTGATCAAATGATATATAAAAATTTATGTTAGTTGTATCTTACAATTAGATCAACTCGTATTAATTTTGTACTTGCATATATTTTAATCAATAAATATTATGTTAAAACACATAATAAATTATATTTATACATAAGCACTTTACTACATATGTTCTATTAATTATAAATAAGTCTTGTATAATTTGATAAACTTAATCAGATAAATAACTAATTAATATCACTTAATTGACGATCTCTTTGCAGGCACTATTTATATCAGGAAATTGATATTGAAAACCTAATTCTTTAGTTCTTTTAGGAAGTACTTTTTGCCCCTCCAATATCATCTATTAAAAATTTCATATTAAACACTATCAAAATTCTATATAAGAATATGACAAAAATTAGATACTAACTTTTGCTCGTTCTCCACTAAACATTACATTTAAAACAAAACTTGGAACAGGTATTATAGCTGGTCGTCGTAAAGCACAAGCAAATGCTTTCGTAAACTCCTTGTTCGTCACAGGCTTTTAAAAAATATAATAATAAACCTATCATTTAAGAACATAAACTATAAATCATTCTGCTTACTTGAAATTGTTTTGTATTACCTCAGGCGCGACACCATTTAAAATACCATGAACATTATCATTTTTCATAGCAAAGAGAAACATATTAACAAGATCGGTAATATGTATCCATGGCATATACTGATTTCCGGTACCGATAGGACCACCAAGTCCGAATAAGAATGGCAAATAAATTTGTTTAATCATACCACCACCTTTACCTAACACTACTCCAGATCTAATAGTGACTTGTCTAATTTTACTTTCCTTCGAAAGTTGTGCAGCAGCTTCCCAGTCACGACAAAGTTCTAACATAGGTTGTATATGCAATTTTCTTAATTTAATATACATAAATATATCACAAACGCATTATATTCTTCATTTATCAATTTACCTGATAAAAAATCATAAGGTATACATTCGTTTTCCTCGGTATATGTTGTACCATTAGGTTTATAATATGCAACACCAGAAATAGTAACGAAAGCTTTTGCATCTGTACATTCGACCGCTCTGGCCAAGGTTTCAGTTGTTTTTACTCGACTATCTATAACAACTTGTTTAAACTCAGATGACCAACGTTTTGTTGGATCGAGTACATTTTGACCAGCAACATTAATTACAGCGGACGTATATTTAGGAAGACCATTTTCTTTTACATCTTTCTATAGAATTCATAGGGACAATCGAACAAAAATTGCATTACTTTTTGTACCAACTCAAAAAAGAATTGTTGTTAACTTTTATACTAAAAATGATTTCTTACCCAGGATATTCTGTTAGGACCTGCTTGTCGTGAAACAATTGTACACGTTATACCTTGTTGACATAATAAGTCTATTAAACGTTTCCCTATAAATCCAGTACCTCCACCTAAGAATTATACAACTTTATCTATGATTACTCAGATATTTAAAAATCCATTATTATTAAGAAGAAGAATATAAGAGCTTGCCTACAACAACGTGTTTTAAAGACATTCTTTCTAATTGTTTATTTAAAACAACCACATTAGTAAACCTGGAAACAAGAACATTTAATTTTTATAATAATTTTCAAAATAAACTTAACCTATACAATTAAATTTCTAATTGATACATATAAAAATAAGTAAATTCAAATATTAAACGATACGCAATGGATTTTAATATTTAGCACACATATGACAATACACAAACAATTATTATTTCTGCATTTATTTGCATTAGATTATATACATAACTCTCTTTTTATATGTGCAACCGAAACAAAAATATATATATATATATATATATAGTAAAATAAATCTATTTTTATTTATAATAACCCCAGGGTTTTTTACACTTTATGGCGTATTTACAATAAACATCAAGCTACATCCAATTAGACGGTAATATAAATGTGAATTCTAACTTTTTAATTTTCACCAATCAGTGGTTTTTTTACTAGCGGTTTATTTTGATTGGTAGTTGTATTAACTGGATTGTATTCGATTTTTTCATTTTTATTGGTTGGTACTGTATAGAGGAAATAATAATCCTTGACGAATCAGATCGTATAAACGAATTTAAACTTAAACTGACACAGTTAAGAGTAAATTTCTGAAGTAAAATAAAGTTAATAGCTTTTTTACTTACAAAATATTTCCTGTAAAGTATCTAAGGTAAAAAATCGTGTAATTAATATAATATATTGTTAATTTGTTTTAGATATGTCTAATATTGATTTATATTTTTAATATTATTTGTTATATTTAATATTTAATATTAATTGATTTTTTTATTTGTTTAGGATTATATTTCTTCAGTTGTCATATAACAATAGAAAAAGAAAAAAATTAAAGAATAAGGAAAGAAGTTTGTTTTCTATAAAAGTTTCATTAGATGAATTAGAATAGACAGAATTAAATATAAATTATCAAAAATAGCTAGAAAAAGTTTAGCAAATATGATGGTGGAATCAAATATAAAAGTTTTTACATCTACATCTTCTCCATTACGTAGAAAAACTATCGGATTAAATAATTTGTCTCCGTTGTTAGAAAATGATGATGAAGCAGAGCGTTTAGCTTTAAGACGTGATGCTACTGTAAGTACACCATCATGTAGTAAATCTAACGAAAAAAGACAGTCGTTAGGTTTAAGCTCTTTGGCACAAATGCCAGAACCTAAAATGACCGAGCTCATATCTGAATATATCAAATTAAGCACTGAAAATAAAATTAATCATAAAAATGCATTTAGTTTAGAAATGATTGATTTTATGACGTACATGGTTACTAAAAGAAATTCCGAAATAACTAACTTGCAAATGGCTAGTACATCGTTGGATGTATGTACTAAAATTTATGGGTATCGTGTTGATGGTATATACATAGACATTTTAAAAATGGCTGGTGCAATGGATAAACAAAAGGAGGATAATTTAACTGATATGAATGATAAACAATCTAATAATTCAGAAGAACAAGAACAACAACAAGAAACAGATAGTCAAACGAAGAAAAAAAAGAAAAAAGGAAAACAGAAGATTATTAGTACAGAAAATGCATTAAATGGATCGGTAGAAATAATGTTACCCTCACGAATGACTATAGGAAAAGGGGATTTATGTTCATCTGATATGCTCTACCAAATAGTGCTACCGCATCTTGCTAATTCAGGCTTTTATCATAATACATGCAATGATATTATTTTAGATCAATTAAATGAAACAAATGAAGATAATGAAAATTTTCCGACTTATACTATATCAAAGATAGAGGATCTTTCTCAGTTAGATCTGTGTCCAAGCATATCTAATTTTGAATTTTTAAGATGGTCATTAGAAGATGAAGAAGAAATCATAGAGCCTGAACAAAATGACGATGAAAACAGATTTCATTTTGATCTTGATGCCAGTGTACCTTCTGCAGATGAAGAATTTTTTGACCATGCGAATTGTTCTCAAATGGAAACAGATACGAGTAATAAAGATATGTGTGTGAGAAATCCGAAACAAATGGAAAATATAGTAGACTTTCGTAAAATTATGACTGAACAAATAACAGGAGATCAGGAAATGCCAGAATATTCTTTCTTACATAAAAATATAAACTCAATTCATTGGGCAGGACCTTTTTATTGGAAACATAAAGGGTTCAAAACAATTTTAAGTAATAGCAAAGTAGTGGAAACTTGCAAACAGGCTGAAATTAAGAAGAAAAAAGAATTTATAATTACATATACCAACGAAGATAAATCTAAACTGGATGAAAAGTTTTTATGTAGCAGAATAAACAAAATACAAATTAAAACAGCCAGAAAAAATTGGAAAGAAGAGAAAATAACATTACCAGAAGATATACATTACGATATTACACAATTAACTAAATTATATCTTCGTCCTTTAATCTCCTCATATCGTAATTCAGAAGATTCACTCAATTCGGCACAATTGCCTGAAGGTATAGAAGATTATGATTATAACAATGATAATGATATGTCTAACTTTTGTCCTGGTATAGATGCCGATTGCGATATGCAAGATAAAAATGATTCAGGTCAATTAGGAGATGGAGATGGAAATATAATAGAAAATCAGATACCATTTACTAATGATAATCTGGTAACAATGCCTACATTAACTAATAAAACGAATACAAACTATCCTTTACGTGCCAAAAAAATTGACATGCATCAATTAAAGAAAACAATATGGAAAGCTATGTTGAAAAAGAATATTAATACTGATAATAAAGAAGAAACGCAACAAAATGGTCAAATAATCCAATCCATAACTTTCAGCGACATTTATAAATCTTTACCTAATGTACTTTCTAAATCCAATGCTGAAGCATTAAGTCTCCCCATTGCAATAGTATCTTTGCTTCATTTAGCTAATGAAAAATCTTTAACGCTTTCTTCTCTTCCAGATTGTTCAGATATTATTATAGAAGCTAAAGATAATCTATAAAAATATTTATTTTTAAATATATATTTTAGAAAAGTTAAATATAATTTTGTAAATTTGTTATAAAATAGTACAAATAAAAATATCCAGTATATTTCTAATAAATGAATAATAGTATTAAAATATATAATGACTAGTTATATTTTTATAACATTAAAAACAAATTTGTTATTAATTGCATCAATAATGCTGAAAGGAATTCTTTATGAAAAATAAAGTGACATCTGTAAGGGCCCTAGCGTAACTACACAGAAATTAGCTGGAGCTCCTCCTAACCTAACCTAGCTAAATTCTAATTATTACTACATTTGTAAAGGTCTGCTTGTAAACAGCTAAGATGGCTTCTCCTTTGGAAAATTTAGAAACACAATTAGAACTTTTTATCGAAAATGTTCGACAGATTCGTATAATAGTTAGTGATTTTCAACCTCAGGGACAAAATGTGCTCAATCAAAAAATGTAAATATCAAATATTTATATACATATATGCTTGGTTAAGAAATTTTATCAAAATAGGTTATATTTCTAGATTCATTATTATCAATTTAATACGTATAATAAAAGAGATCATGCTTTAGTTTTTATAACTTATACGTGTCTTTTTCTTGTATATTTTTATATAGACAAGGATTAGTTAACGGATTACAAGAAATAGATAAACTCAAATCACAAGTTCAAGATGTACACGTGCCTTTGGAAGTGTTCGAGTAAGTTGTTATGATGCATTGTATTTTATAATTTTATGTTACATATCTAATGATTAATATCTATCATAAAACAATATATCTAATGATTCATTAAATTTCAGTTATATCGATCAAGGTAGAAATCCACAATTATATACTAAAGATTGTATCGAAAAAGCGTTAACTAAGAACGAACAAGTTAAAGGAAAGATAGACGCATATAGGAAATTTAAAGCTAATATGTTAGTGGAATTAAATCGAGTTTTTCCAAATGAATTAGCTAAATACAGAGCAGTACGTGGAGATGAATGAAGGAGAATCTAAATATTAAACGATTTGCTATAAGGCTGATATATGTATTATACATGTGTATGAAATATTTCATTATCAGATCTTGTTTGCTTAATTGAAATGGATTATTATTTTGTATATATTAGACAAAAACAGTAATCATTTTGATTATTATTTATAATTTCAATAGTAATAATAATAATAATAAGAGTAATACTGATATGTTTCTAAATTATGTATTATGCGTTTACTTTTTGATCTCTCTCATTAATAGTATAATTTAATATTAAAGGTAAAGGGGTAAAGGTTTTAGGTTTTTAGTATAATTAATATGTTAAACAGTACAGAAATCACCGACAATGAACTGTAAAAAGTTTTAAAGATTTCTTATGTCATACTTGGAAGAAATTACATTAGTATATTTTATAATAAGCGTAAAGTTATTTGCATCTTTTTATCTATGAAAAATTATTACAAAATATTAAATGAATAGATTAATCAATTTTTGTGAGATTAATCTTCGACAGTTAACGTATTACTATAATATGAATGTTTGTTACTAAGCGGTGTAACTTAAATTGTATTTACAATTTCTTTTTGTAAAAATTCCACAAGATGGTAATAATATCTGTCTAATTATATCAATAAATACAAAAATATGAATAACATTTTAATTCAATTTGAAAATCAAAATGATTACTTTAAAATTTTAAATATTATCTATTAAATTAAATATACAAGTATGAGAGAGAGACGATTCTTAATTTTGGTATGATTAATTTCTGAAATATTATTATTATTTAATAGGATTAAACAAATTAGAATTTGTCAGAATACGAAAAGATTAAAATTGTTTTTTTTTTTATTAATTTTTCTTTTCATTTGACATATATATTCTGCATCCTCCCCACTCGTTTTACTCCCACTCATTTTATCCCTTCCACTTCAATTCTGATTTCACGCGAAGTCGTTCTCCTCAAGGAGGATAAAAAGTGTTTGCAACTCGGACGTGGGCATTCATTCGAGGAATAACAGCCTCTCTTAGTGATAGGTAGAATTTTTCAAGAAAAAGAAAGAAACATGATTGCTATTACATTTATATTTGTCCTCGCTTTAGAAGCTTGTAGCGAGTTCATCGTTGCTGAGAAAGTTTATAAGTAAGTGGACCTTTTCTTTATTTAATATACACATATTTATAAATATTACTAATATAATTATTATAATAAACTTTATAATATAACAGATAATATATTTAAAAATAATAATTTTGGTTATCGAATTAAAATGTTAAATTATTCATATTTTTTTTTAATCTTGTAAAATTATTAAAAGAAGGAATTATAAATGCTGGAGTACTATTTAAGATATAGATATATGTATCTTATATATAGATATAGATATTTACAATTTATACATAAATAAATATATGAAAAATATAATATATGATATATTATAATATAATAAATTTATATTGCATTTTAACACGATAACAAATAATTTAAAATATTTCAAATATTTTCATACTTTAATAGTTTTATAATAATTGGCGGGATTATTTTGTTATTTAAATTTGATATGCACAGATACATTGTAAGTTTCTAAGGTGAATGCTGTTGCTTAATCAAAGATCACTTTTCTATGTCGCGGTTAAATCCTTTTATTAACTTTCATTTAATTTTCTCAAAGTATATATATATATAGTTCAAAATCAATATTATCTATATTTATTTATTTATTTATATATATTTATATAAATATATTTAGTTCATCGATATATATATCGATTAGTATTATCGAGATTTCTACAAAAAAATGCGCCATTTTTTTTAAATAATATCTTTACGAAGCGCAACGAAATAAATTAAATTTCAACTCGAACATGATTGTTTTATATAAATAGAAAGATATAACACAATAAATATATGATATTAAAAAGTATTAAAAGATTTGAATCTACGCAAAGAACCGGTCGGTGAAAGATCAGTATCACGTTGACCGTTCTTTCGATTAGAAATCGTTGAAATTGTGACCGTGTGTTCACTGTTTGCACGTGAATTTTTTTTTAAATAACCGGGAAGTCACGTGACTACTGGTCAGAAAAAATGGCGGACCTAGGACGCGTAATTCGATTTGTATATCTTCAAAGTTTGTCATTGTGTACTCACAAGTTTTTATCTTCATTTCTTTTTTTACGATGAAAGTAATGTAATATCGATTTATTAATACGAAAGCAGGCCATGTTTAAAATAAAAAAAAATAATTTTGTTTAAAGAGATATCGAGAAAATTACAAGTATTTGTAAAAAGTGATATCGAATTCGATCGAGGATGATAAAGTATCGGTAAAAAAAAAAAAATTCTCTACAATTGTAAGTCCTTCTTATATTTTTATTTTTTAATCTTAACTTGTTTTTTTTTTTTTTTGTCTTTTTTATTTTTAATATTTATATATTATATTTTATAATCCTATCCTTATACTTTTATTTACACATGTTGTGGTGGAATTTAATGCGTTTATTTATATCAAAACATAGTATTATCGTGGTAATAAACAAACGTTATAATATATTAGTAGTAGTATTTTCTTATATTATTATGACTTATCAATGATTTATAAAAAATAATGATAATAATAAAGTATTTATTATCATAATATTATAGCTTTAGATTAATCCCTTTTTTTAAATTAATTGTTTAGTTGTAAAATACTTTTGATAATTGTATTATGTACTATATATCATAGTGTAATTATTGTAAAACACATACACCTTTTTAATCTTTAATATAGAACTATATAATCCATTTAATATGATTACAATTCTATTCGTAGTACACCATGGCATTACAAGTGCAATGGTGGATATTGTTTAAAAGAAGAGATCACAGAAGAAATATCATCGCCGATGTCTTTGAAAGTATGTCAATTATTATGCGGTGACAGTGGCTCTTTATGGCCAAAACCAACAGGACACTTATCTTTGGGTAATTCGATATTGCCACTCAATGTTAATGACATCAGATTAAATGGCATAGATTTAAATACAAAAGTAGGTGATCTTCTACAAGAGAACATTAATATATTAAAAGAAAATATTAAAAAACTTAGTACACCTGTTGACAACAGTGGAGTAGGTTTGATAATTAATGTTAATGATATTCATGAATTGAATCATGTACAATTAACATTAGATACCGATGAAAGTTACAAATTACAAATTTATCAGATCGATGACAAATCGGTAAGTTATTTTTATATTCGTAACTTTTGTTTTTCTATACTCTATCTGTCTGCTGTTAAAAAATTTTATTAATTTATCTCATGAATAATTCATCGAAAAAAAAAAATCAATATGTAAATTAAGATCCCTCGATTGATATTCAAAAAAAAAAAATAAAACAATAAATTTATGACATTCTTTCTTGATTTCGTCAAACATCTTCAATACCAGTTTTTACAAGTTTTTCTTTCTTTACTTTTTTATTAATAAATTATTACAAATTGATATTCATTCTTCTTTGATATTATTCATTATTGTATGCTCATTCTTATTAATATCTATTTGATTATTTAAATTTCATGTCTTTTTCTTTTTTTTTTTTTTACAATCATGTAGATGGATGTGACAATAACAGCAAAGACTTATTTTGGTGCTAGAAATGCTTTGGAAACATTATCTCAATTAATAGTATTCGACGATTTGAGTGATAAAATACAGATCATTCGTAGTGCTCACATTGAAGATAAACCGGCTTATCCTTATCGTGGAATCCTTTTGGATACCAGTCGTAATTTTATTAGCGTCGAAGCGATCAAAAATACCATAGAAGCAATGTCCATGTCAAAGATGAATACTTTCCATTGGCACATCACCGATTCTCATAGTTTCCCATATGAAATTAAAACCTATCCGTTGTTCACCAAATATGGTGCCTATAGCAAGGAAAAAGTTTACACGAAGGAAAACATTAAGGATATCATGAGATTTGCCCTTTTAAGAGGTGTACGTGTTTTACCAGAATTCGATGCACCTGCTCACGTTGGCGAAGGTTGGCAATGGGTAAATATTTTTTTGTTTAACTTCTTACCCAAGGAAAAACTTATTGCAATTTGATATAGATTTATTTCTTCTTTTTTTTTTTTCAGCAGACTTTACACTTGCATTTATTATTGTTCATAAGTTCAATAGATTGATTAGATTTAATATATCGATTAGATAATATGATGAGTAACTTTCTTAAATATTTATGATTATTTTTAAATGATGTTTCTATTGTTCATCTTGAATGAATTTGTTTGAATCAATACGAATAGGTGGGCCACAATACAACGGTATGTTTCAAATCAGAACCATGGGCGAATTATTGCGTTGAACCACCGTGCGGTCAATTAAATCCAACCAGCGACAAAGTTTATGAAATTCTCGAAGGTATTTACAAAGAAATGTTGGAAGATTTCAATCCAGATATCTTCCACATGGGCGGTGACGAGGTCCATATTAATTGTTGGAACTCCAGTGATATGATCAAGAATTGGATGCTCGCTAAAGGATGGGATTTATCAGAATCGAGTTTCTATTTGCTTTGGAATTATTTCCAAGACAAGGCACTCGATAAGTTAACTTTGGCTAATGGAGGAAAAGAAATTCCCGTTATTATATGGACTAGTGGACTTACCAATATAGAAAATATCAAATACTTGGATTCTCAGAAATATATTGTACAAATCTGGACCACTGGTACCGATCTTACTGTTGGTAGATTAATAAGCAATAATTTCAAGGTCATTATTTCTAATTACGATGCTCTTTACCTTGATTGCGGGTAAGTCAATTAATATCTCTCTATTCTTCCTGAAAAAAAACAAAAAAGAAATACAAATGAATATATTCAATATCTTATTACAGTTTTGGAGCATGGGTTGGTGAAGGTAACAATTGGTGTTCACCATACAAAGGCTGGCAATTAATTTACGATAATTCTCCGTCTACCATTCTTATGAAACAAGGTTTTGGTGTTAATAAGAAGAACTTTGTGCTAGGTAAATATATTTTTGTCTTAACGTTTTTGACGTCCCTTATTTTTTGGATACATTTGTTTGTGACATCAATGTGGTGCCACCGCGGACAGCTGATCAAACATTATCTTTCTTCTATATAAATTGATAAACAAATCTTTTTTCTTAGGCGGAGAAGTAACACTTTGGACAGAACAAGTTGACAGTACTTCAGTTGACTCAAGACTATGGCCCAGGTCAGCAGCTTTCGCAGAAAGACTTTGGTCTGATCCTGCTTCTACTTGGATTCATGCTGAACATAGAATATTAAGACACCGACAGAGACTCGTTCAAAGAGGTATTAATGCTGATAGATTAGAACCTGAATGGTGTATTCAGAATCAAGGACATTGTTATTCAAATTAACAATTAATCTGAGACATCTTTTAATCTCATTAAGATGAGATGACATTAATTAAAACGTAATTAGCATAACTGAACTTGGATTTTAACCAACTAAATATTTTTCTATTCTAAGATTATAAAATTAATTATACAAAAAGTAATAATAAGATTTAAATTTAATCTTCTTTCTTATCTTGAACTTAAATCTTAAAAAAGTATATACAGGGTGAGTCAAAAATTCTTGAGTGATCAAACCATATTTTATATATATATATATATATATTTATAAATAAATAAATAAAATGATGCGTATATTAAATACGTTTATCGAAAGACACAAAATTTGCGAATGATTCAATAATTAGTACAATAATTTATTTGAGAGAGAGATAGAGAATCAGAAATGGTATAGTACAGTGACAGTGACTTTGGTGGAATAATTGTCACGTGTCAAGTTTCTCTCAACGTTGATTTTTAAACATTAAGACAAAACAATGACTTCGCCTTTTTTTCTTTCTTATAACGTGTCAAGAATACACCTTGAATTTTTAAATACACGCATGAGATCATCGCGTTTACTTATTCGAGTATTTGTAATATTACTTTTCAGTTCTTTTAAGAACACAATCATATATATAACGATTATTATTATTATTATTATTAACATTATTCTTATTTACACGGATGATGAATTCGAGAGTACGAAGGAAACATAGATCAAGCATTATCTATTTTTCTTTTTTTTTTTTTTCTTTTTTTTCATTCTTTTTTAACGATTAAAACACTGTCCAGTTAGAGAATAAAATGTATAGAATTATTTTTTGTTCTTCAATTTAAATAGTAATCAACGAGATTCTTAAATTTCTTTCTTTTATTTTATTTCACTTCTCTCGTTGATGTCACATAATTGAAATTATAGAAATCAGGTACTCAGTAATTATCTTCTTTATTATCGAACGGTGTTTTGACGAAATATGTTGTCAATGTTCCTTTGCCTTTAACAAAGGTAGGCCCACGACAAACTAATTCATATCCTGCTGCAATTAATATCTTAGCTGTGTCCTCGGTAACTTGAAGTTTTCCCATCTCTCCGCAACTATCCATTCTTGACGCCACGTTTACCGTATTTCCCCAAATGTCGTATTGAGGTTTCTGCGCTCCTACCACACCTGCTATCACGGGGCCATGATTGAGACCTTGATTAAAGAATAGACAATAATTTGTTTAATTATACTTTTTTTTTTAATCATTTTTAATTAAAGGACTTTAATTTTTGGTCTTCTTCACATATCGAAAATAATCCGTACAAATATAATATTATATATAATTATAAATATAATACTACATTAATAAAAATTAAAAGATAATTATAATATCTGATATTTAAAAATATGTTCTTTCGCCGATAAATCCTAGGACACCTTGTATATAATATGAATATAATATTCATTAACTTACCTATTCTCAATTTAAACCTCTGAAAAGATTCTCTATTAATCTGATCAAGAATCGTCATCAGTGCAATGGCAAATTCGACAAGAACTATCACATTGTGATCTTGTTGTTGCAACGGATCCTGCGTAGAAAAAGAAAAAAGATGCAAATAATTCAATATAATTTTGTTGTTTATTTAACGTAAAACAGCAATTTTTTGGTATACCTTAGCTTCAGTATTTTCTTTCCCAGGACTCAATCCGGATGCCAACATGTAAGTACTTCCAATAGTTTTGATCTTTTCAATACCAGAATATTTAGGTTTCAATAAAAGCATATCGAAATCGCAAATGATTTCATTTAAAAGTCTTAGACATTCTAGACCTTGTTTATTTATATCAGTCTCGTCGTAAAATTCTTTATAATTAGGTATAGATGCAAACATTACTGCTATACTGCTGTATCTTTCGTGATAGAGTTCCTATAAATCAAATTAAAGAAGATTTTTGATTGAAATAAAATACATACAAGAAAATTAAGACAATTGAATAAATGGGTATCTTAAAAGAAGGGTGTATATTGCATTCCATTAAATTAATACGAAAATTTAATAATGAGATAGTAATATTTAATTGCAAACATAAGAGATGTTTATATTCAATTTTATACGTTTACAAATTTATGAAATGTAAGATAAATCCTTCCAGATATCAATTAAATTAATTTCAACCTGTGTTGTTCTAGTAGCTAGAAAATGATCAGCCACGTGTGCAGGTAATATATTCTCCAAAAGAATCTTATTGATTCCTCTCATAGTTTCAACGTCATCTTGTTCGACTTTGAGTTTACTTTTCCAAAGAAAATCTGTTCTCGATGTGTACTCAACTTGTCTGTCTAATACATGAAGTACTAATGCCACCAATAACAATAAGTATCCTATTTCCAGCAAGTAATTTAGGCCTTTAAATCTATAATCGTAAATGTTTAAATTAAAGAATCCAATAAAAGGAGAATTTTTATTTAATATAATCTTATTTAATAGAATTATTTACTTACTCGATTTCGTGTTTTGCATAATAAAGCTCTATAATTGGCGCTTGAGATAAAGTTAGTAATATTAGGGAGATTGAGATTATCATCACTGTGAGTTTTAACAGGAAGCCTACTCTTAAATGAGTCCAACTGATGACTAATGCGATTGTTGCCGAATATACATATAACTAAACAAATAAATATTAACAAAAACTGATATATATGTAATTAGAAGAATTTAAATATGAAATAATTTTATATAGTTCCTATATAAATATATTAAATATATATTTAGTAAAAATTTAGATTATAATATTAGAGATTATTTTAATAACGATTGTAATACAATTAATCAATCACAATTAGGAGAACATTTTCAAATAATAAAGAAACAACAAATATTCTAATGAAGATTAATTTATTTCAAAAGAGAAACATTTAAACTTACCGGTGCATCTTGATAAGAGTTATAATCAATATCGATTAAACTGATAACAGATGAAGCGGTTGCTAAAGATGCGGTGATAAAATAAACAGTCATTCTTATTCCACGACAAAATGGAACTTGTCCTTGAGCATCTAATTCACTCTCGCATCTTGTTCTACCGACGAACCAAGAAATTCCAGCAATTGTTAATAAAGATACCAAACCAGCTGAGAAACATCCATAAACGGTGATACTCCTGAATTAAAAAAAAATAAATCATTCGATTAAATATTTTTATTATATTCGAGATGAATAATTTAAAGCAACACTTTTTTTATATTTATTATATATACGACAATTAAATAATTTCCATTTAATTTCACACCTTCGCATGTAAACTATTTGAATAGAGAACATAGATGTGTAGAAGATGCTGGATGCAATAAGATACCAAGGATATTGTTCATCTTTTTGTTCTCTGTATTGGAGTTCTTGATGTTTGTCTTTGAACCAATAGGTGAAAGGTAATATATCCTCGCTACCACCGCACCATTGCCTGTTTATCAAAATAAAAGAATACAAAATTTGCATACACAGGTTGTATTTTTAAATATAATAAAATTCTCATTTCTATTGATAATCATCTGAAATATATTTTAAATATATTTTTCAATTAAAAACAAAGATACAAATTATTCAATGCGAATAAATTTATTGATTTATGAATAATAACTCACTTGATATCGAAAAAATTGGTATTGTTTGCTATAAGATTAGATTCGATCATAGCAATGCTCTGTAAAGAAAAGAAAAAAGAAAAATTAATATATACATAGATAATTAACGAAACGTTAGAGGAATTTTAAGAAATGTATAATATCTTTTATTTCATTCACCGTTAATCCTATATTTTTTGCTAAAGTTGTTTCAGCGATATTTGCGAAAGGTTTATCGGCACCCCAGCATTCAACGTATTTAGTCATTTTACTGCTAGGTCTGGATCTATAAATAAATAGTAAAAGAAATATTCACCTTTATCGATATGAATGTTTGTGAATAAAAATGAGGAGAGTAAAAAATAAATAGAAAAATAGAAATAAAGAAAACAAGAAATAGAAAAAAAAAAGTATACAATATAATGTGTCTTACCTCGTGGGAATAGGTCCAGGTCCTCGTATACTATTGCCACCATTTTCTAGTCCGTTTTCTTCGTTGTTTTTCTGCATAATTGAATGACCGATAGTAATCTCGTCATGAGAAGAGTTTTATATATTCTAAAATCGAAAGTTTATACGCACGTATTGTATGTATTATATATACAGTCTGATTTGTGTTAACAAGAATTTTGGATCTAATTCCCAAATTTTTTTTCCTCTTTTCATGGCTATATGATACTTATTGTACAAGGTGTTTCTTAATACGTGAAACCAATTTCAGAAATAGACAAACGACACAAAAATAATGTAGAGTTTTTCTATTAAAAATGTATCCTAAGTTATAGCCACTTTTGGGTTTCAATAATTTATAATAATGTTGTCCACTCTTCAATTAGGTTTCATGTATTACGAGACATCCAGTATATAGTTTTTAAATTATATATGTATTAGTTCTAAATCTATTATTATATTTATGATAATATAATTAGTTATTATAATATGATATAAATATTTCGATTGAAATGTCTCACCCTGTATATATAATACAATTTTTATAATAACATAAATAAAAAGAATATTAAAATTGGCATATATATAAGAAGATATTACGAGAGAAAAAACAAACATACACACACACACACATACATATACGTACAGCAGACGCAAACAAACGCATACATACAAATACAGGTTTTCTTTTATTTTTTATATGAAATAATTTGAAAATCAGCGATATAAATTATATATGAAGACTGGTTTTTGAAATTTATACAAATAAAAGAGAAGAAAATACAAGGAAAAAAAAGAAAAAAAAAACAAACAAGAACCGAAGAGGAGACACATTGATGTTTTTTTTTTTTATATAAATCGTACCTTAGGCGGGATTATAAGAAAAGTTTCTACTTTGTGCTGGGCCAGATAATTCTCACGCGATCCACCATCCCCTGGTTCGACCTCGAAACGATCACCAAGCTGAAGAAGGGTGGCTTTTGTTATGTGGACCCTCCTTGGACAAAGATTTAAGTACAATTGAACGTACTTATTTAGATTTTTGATTTTCTTTCATTAATATTCTATCTTTTTCTTTCTTTTTTTATATATATATATATATCTTTTCTTCTGAACATGTTTTTTCATATATTTTATAATTTTAATTACTTGATTTTACCCCCATTATATTAACATTCTTCCTCCTTCTTTTTATTAACTCATTCATTAAATTAATTCATTCACTCATTCACTTACTTGTCTTTCTTTCTTTCTTTTTGTTTGTAATATCTCATTCTCTATTTTTTTCTTTTATTCTTTTAGTAATCTTACCCAGGAAGACCACCACTTTCCATATGATTAGCAAGAGTAACGTCGTCACTCCAAACATCGAATTGCCATTTGCGAAGTCCAAGGACACCACAAAGAACATTTCCAGTGTGAATTCCTATTCTCATGTCTACATTGAATCCAGTTGCTTCTCGTACAAATCTATAGAACAAAAAAAGAGAGAAAATACAAGATAATAATTTATTTAAATGTTTATAATATACAGATAGTTCTTAATACAAAAAAAAAAAATATTTAAATAATTCTTCAGTTTTTATTTCTTTTATCAAAAAAATAATTAATATTTTAATTGTTAGTTTTTCTTTTTGTTTCTTTTATATTTTATTTGAATATATCTTAAAATGAGACTAAAGGGTTTTACCTAATTGCGTCTATCATTTGCAGGCCCATATTGACGCAATTATATGCATGATTAGGCCGGGAAACTGGCAATCCCGAGACACAGTAATAACAATCTCCTAATATCTTGATTCTCATGCATTGATTGTCCTGAAACATATTATTATTTGATAAGTAAATAGAATATATTTATCAATAAATATAATATATAAATTCACATGATAACTCTTTTCACTCATTTGTGGCTGTGTAAAAAAATACATTACAATTTGTTTATAAAAAGTTATAAAAATAAGAAGTATATTCTGAAATTTTTATAATATAATATGATAGAAAGAGAAGATAACAAAAAAGAAATATTTAAAATGAAATACTTTGAAATTTTCAATCTCGTTTAATTAATCAAATATTTAGTTACAAAGAAAAAAAAAAGAAATAAAAGAAAATGATTTATTTAAAATAGAATTTGAAACGAATTCAATTGGATATTGTGCAAGTAATTTTTTATCTCTTCCCTTTCATTGAAGATAAATATATACATAGACGTATAAATGTGTATCTATAAATATATCTATATTTAAATATATATATATATATATATATCATTCTCTCTTTCAAGCACAAACGGATACCTAACAACCGAAATAGGGTATGTCACGTGTTATAATATCTATTTACACCTACGCATCATATATACACTTATATATATATATATATATATACATATGCAAGAAGGTATCCTATAACTGGTGGTACAAACGAGTACATGATTTTATACGAAAAACTATTTTGTAAATTGACAATGTGGAATTAAATTTACAATAGTTAGTTATAGAAAAAAAAAAACAATAAATTACACTGTTTACTTGAGTGAGTTTGCAATCATATATTGTAATAAATATAAATTTTCTATTTTTTTTTTCTTTTTTTTATGGTAGAAGGAAAAAAATTGCCATTCCAACAGATAATCCTAAAAGTATATGTACTTTAACAAATTTACTATGCCTGAATTCTTATCTAAACCATAAACGTAATCGTCTAACTTTATCTACTGTGAAAGTCGATGAACCAAAATGGTGGAAAAGCATGGACGATAGTAGTAATAATAATAGTAGTATCAAGGATCGTAGGAAAATACTTTTATCGATAGATGCAATCTTTAATTAAACGACTGATCCTTTACTTTACCTATCAGAAAATTAGAAAAAGGGGAAAAGAAATCCTACGGCGAGTATTTCCTTTTTTAAATTTGATACTCTCGTACTCCACACTCCCCGTAACTATTATTTTTATTTTTATTGTTCATATAACATTTATAGATATATTTAAAAAAAAATAAAAAACATCAAAATAAACCCAGAAAACAAAATGTAACAAAACCGAATTTATTTTGTGAATAAATGAATAAATATACAGGGTGTCCGATATAATTCTACTCACGATTTTTCAAGTATTTTTCGATAACCTGACCAAAAAAAAATACTTTAAACAAAAGTTGATCTATTTTTGATTGACCATACATTGGAATAAACAAAAATAAGTTCGAAAAAGAGTTATGTGGGACAGCCTGTATAATTAATTATATAAATATGAAATATATTATAAAGTGTATATAGAAGAAAAAAAAACAAACCTATGTATAAAAAAAGAAGTTTTCGAATCGTCGCAATTAAAAGAAAACGATACTACAATATTTTTGTCTACACTTTTGTTTTTGCTCTCATTTCATTTCAAAGCGAATCGTTTTAAAAGTAAAAATACAGTAAGTACGAAAACTAGACGAAGAAAGAAAGAAAGAAAAAAAAGAAAGAAAAGTACGACTACAGAAATAGATAAAACGTTCGTCAGTTGAAATTTTACAGGATTATCTGATATCTTTCATTTGTTTCAAGCTCTCTTCTACCCCCGGATCCACCCCTAACCCATTCCTCCCTTTTTATCTCTTTTCCTCTCTCTTTTGATCTTTTCGATAACACATGCTTGAAATTACACACCATAAAGTTCTCCTGTAACATTATTGATGATTACTATTACTGTGTGATAAAAGATAGATTATTGAAGGGCTCACTGGATATTTGATTTCACCTAACACGCATTATTTGTTACATAGTTATTCATTCATTACTACGATCTACTTTATATTTATTCATTAAAAATATATATATATATATATATAAATATTTTTT